CATTGTTAACTTTGATGAATAAATAAATAAATAACTGTATTTAACGAGGGAAGCACTTTACAGTCTCAGACTGAGAATCCTGTGGCCCTCAGCTACATTACACTAAGAAAAAGTTACAAACAATTGGAATAATTTAGAAATTTCTAACTATAGTAATTACAATAATAGGAAATAACCTCGCTATCAACATGCAATAATAGAATAAAAGTTAAGAATATTAGGATATGTTCGAAAACGATCAATATTAGCGTATCTCTCCCTTATGTGCTCTAAATGAGTTGATAGTTTCGCCACAGGTAACCAATAGGGGTAACGTAAAGAAAGTCAGGCAATTACATCAATTTCTAAAAATAGATTCATATCTAACCAATTCATATTTAAAGAATTTTCGCTGTCCATATCTGCATCCATACAAGGTGAGACCATATCACAATTATATTGTTGATTTTAGTTGTTTGAAAAAGGGTATCGTGTTAAATATTTATAGTTGTAAACTCCGTAGGTTAATCGTCATAACGCAAAGCAGTGCCTTTCGATGAGATTTCTAGTTTCTTTATAAACTGGTGATGCGCTAAAAAACGGCCTCGGCCGATCAGCATGGTACTTTTTCTTTCTGTATTAAGTATAATCGTTTGACTAACGATGCAGTTACTTCGGATGTGGATCGCGACGCTTTGATTGCATGCTGCGCGTTAGTGTCACCTGCACATTAGAGAATGGCGAGAGAGTTGTTGGTTTTGCCTCCTCGGCTAAGCGAACGAAGTCTTTGGTTGCAAAGATACTGTAGGAAGCTATCGATGTTTTCCTGATCAAAGATGATAAAAGCATCTACTATATAATGCTTCGGATCCTTGGCTTGTAGGATGATGACGTTATCGCTTTATTTTAAAAACTCTCTACGTAAAGGTTAGCAGTAACTGTGGAAACCGGACTTCCCGTCGCTGTGCCTTCTGTCTGCTCGTAAATTGGTCCGTTCCAATGGCAGGCTACTATTAGTGTATCTTGATACGAAGTTCAAGAGGTCTGCGATCCGAAAACAAACAAACAAACAAACAAACAAAAAGACATGAACTAAGTTCGAATTGTAGATTCGCCACCGTAAAGAGTTAGAAAGCTGACGTTTCGAGCGTAGCCCTTTTCCAGAGCGAAGAGACGAGTTGTGGGTTGTGTGTGTTTTTATGCAGAAGGTGGAGCTACGCTATTGGTGGGAACGTGGTGACGAGAAAAACAAGAATAAATTAATAGATTAAAAGGCGTTCGTTGATACCTATGGGATTAAGAGAGGCGTTTTGAAAGATCAGCTTTTGTTCAAGAGCTATGCGGCTCTCCAAGCTACCTAAAGGTAACAAGAGACCGCAGATTTCCACTTACTGCTTAGAATGATCACTTAGATGAAAGCATCTAGCGAGTGGTTTTAATGCGTCCTTGTCATTACTTTCTAGGTCGCGAAGGTGTTCTCGGAATCGGTCATCTAGTCATCTTCCTGTTTCGGCGATGTGTATCTTTTTGGAATAAGTGCAAGTTATGTAATAGATGGCTTTAGCACAGGTGCACGTGAAGTAATCACAAATCTTATTGGATCGTTCGGGTACCGATATTTTTTCAGCGTTGTGAATGAAAGGACAAGTTTGCCATCGTGCGCAAGCGCAATTAAAAGTTCCAGGTTGCTCATTAGTTTGGAAAAAACTTCTCACCAAAAAGCTGCCTATGTTTTTGTCACGTTTGAATGACATTAGTGGAGGCTGCGAAAAGATAGTGCCAGTCTCTGGATCGTTTTGAGATCATTTAAAGTTTTTAGAATAATGGATTTAACTGAGTGGTTGTGAGGGTAAAATGTAAGGGTGAATGAAATGCGGTCGGAATTTTCCTTCTGTGACGTTAGTAGTGCTGACTGTCGATCAATAAGTTGGGCACGGTAGTGACCCACTTGAGCGACAGAAACAGGGTGACCACGTTTTTCGAAAAACTGGCACATTGCCTCTAATTTGTCGAAAAATTCAGAGTCATCGCTACATAAACGATGAAGTTTTAGAAACTGAGGAAAGGGAATGGAATTCCTGACATGAAATGGATGCGAAGATAAATTCAACAAGTGACTATTTGAGTCTGTAGGTTTGTATCCAAAACATGGGTTTAACCAATTTATCTCTATTTTGCCTCTTAACTCCTGACCCGGTCCAATGAGTTCTGTGAAAATGCAGATAAGAATTTGCGCAAAAAGGCCAGAAACATTGCTACAAAATCTCAATGAGAAAAAACCAAAAGTTCGACCAAAAGTGGATATATCTGGAGCAAGCAATCTCATTATAGAGGGAAACAGTGTAAACTTGACGTGTGAAATTGTGGCTGGTCGGCCTGAGCCCGAGATAACCTGGGTCAAGAAAAATACTTTGCAGGAAAAGAGTTGGTCTCTCCTTTTCCCTAAAATGAAAAAAGAGCGACGAAAGGCGGTACACTTGTAAGGCAGAGAATGCCGCTGGTATATTTACCAAATACGTACAAGTTTCTGTTAAGGGTGAGTTTTTTAATCTCATAGTCCTGCATTTGGTTTGTCCACTGGATGAAAATTTATTTTCAGTGGGCCGGACTTTGGATTAAGGAATCTGGGTCTGAGCTTCAGGGTCATTGTGGAAGTAAGTAATAACTTGGTTGATAAAGGATGGTATATAAATAGTAAAAACTGTTGAACTAGTGGCTCTCCGCCCTTAACCTCTTCTAAAACAGTTGAGAGCTGTTTAAAAACAGGCAGAACTAAAGGAACTAATAGAATCCTTCTTACACATTTCTAGAGGGATTCCATTCCAGAGCTCTACTCTACAAGTTTGAAAAGTTTCACGTTTTTCCGTTTCTGTGTTGTACTGGGGGGCAAATCAAATTGTAGCTCCCATAACGACTCAGCAGTGTCTGGAGAGAACTCGTCGGTGAATTGAGTAACGTACGGGTTTCAAATAAAATCATCTAAATGGTAAAAAGAAGATGTGAGGTTTAAAACCCAAATAGACTCTTTCTCAGTCTCAAGCTCGAAACAAATGCATTTGTCAGAATGATTCTCTCTCCCTCAATATACCCTGTTGTTGTAGCCACTGCTGGAGAGGAAGGAAGGAAATGTTTGATGAGAGAGATTGAGCTGGGAAGATTGAACTTATCGGTGAAAAAAATCAGCCAAACTTTGTAAAGTTTGTGGGCTGCTTTACAACTCAAAGTAAGTACTAAGTGTAGAGCATTTTTCTATGTTTTGGGTATTAAAAATACTACACTACTTCTTTATATGAGCTCCATAACCAGAATGGCCTGTTGATCGGACGAAGTTCGTGGTTTCTTTTTTTATTGTTTTGCTTTGTTTGTCTGTTTTGTTTTATTTCTTTCTTTGTGTGTGTGTGTGTGTGTGTGTGTGTGTGTGCGCGCGTGCGCGCAGTAGCAAGACTGTTCCTCTTTGAATACATTTATCGATAGCCCGATCACGAAGATCTTGAACGCACGACCAGAGTATCTAATATCATTAATCTTGGTGACTGGGCTATCTTGCTTTCTCATTTAAAAAATTTAAAAAATTTAGGCTTAAGTCTCATGAAGGAAAATCCTTAAATTGAGTCCTCTTCCGAAGTTTTTAATAGGTATTGTGGTCATGAGCCTTGACTTTTTTTTTAACGCCACTTCAAGTTCACCCAATTCTCATCATGGAATACATGCCATGCGGATACCTACTTGGTTATCTGAGAAAATGCCGAGGAGTGAGGGATCGGTATTATCTTGGTGATGGTAGGGCTCAAGATTTGACCAACTATGATCTTGTGATGTTTGCCAAACAAATCGCTGCCGGTACGGTATTACTTGGATCGAGAGAGGTAAGTGAAGTCCTTCATTGTTGTCATAAATAAATTGTAACTCCGAAACTCTCTCAGATATTTAAACTGTTTTACCTTAGCTCAGATGCTGACCAACATTTGTAGGTACGTTTCACTTACATAAAGTCTGAGACCTTCTTTCGGCCGTGGTACTTTTATTCCAGTGAGCAGATCACTTCGGATGTCACACTTATAGAGCCGGTTATTCAAACAAAGTTTAGCCGTTGTTTAACAAAACCACATTCTAAACTACCTTCATTTTAGCCGAACCTTTTGACTACCCTAAGAAAAATAAATGCAACAGTAAAATGGTCGGATATGCGCCAACCATATTAGATTTTGGCCTGTTGTGGGACACTCCGCTGTGCTAAAAAGCACAGAAAAATGAAAGCAACAGCCAAACTATCATGCCAGTTTTAAGAAAACAAAGCGAAAAAACGGAACGTCCCTCGACATTTGTAACGAAGAGCGAAGGTGCTGAAAAGAGCATATTGTTTTTCTGAGCACAACCGGTCTTCTGTTGGTTAACCATTTCTAAATTTCATTTTACTGTCATAATTATTATTACTATGATTATCATAATTATCACCATCATCATCCTTATTGCTGCTTTTGCCATTTTTCTTAAGAAGGTAAACGACTAAGTCCTGATAGCCTTAAAGAACTATAATGGCCTGCCTAGTTGCCCTTTTCTCTTCGCACGTACTCGACGTTTTCTCATGAAATCAAATAATTAAGAGGCTTTTACGTCCTGGATCTTTGTTTCCTGGTAGATCATCCATCGTGACCTTGCAGCCCGAAACATTCTCCTCGATGACAGCTATGTTTGCAAAGTGACCGACTTTGGCATGGCATATCAAAGCCTCAAATATGGCCATGGAAATGCCCAAAAGGTAGGAAAGACATCTCGTTGTTGTTGTGGTTCTTGTTTTATTGTGGAGCTTTCGGGAAACAAGCTGTAAACACTAGCATTTTCTCAGCATGAAATTAACTTAGCTCAACCACCAACATGACTTTAATCGTTCACATTGACCTAAGAAAAGGGAAAAAGACTAAATAAAACGCTAAACATCGGGGTATATAAATTACACTGAAGTTTTTTGTAGACGGTCTCGCGAAAAGAAGTATGTTTTCTGTTTTCTAATATGGCTGCTTGAAAGCTATTTTTAAGAGAATGGCAAATTTGTTTTTGTTTTTACATTTGTACATAATTGTGTTATGTGGCTTCATATTTTGCTAAACATGACTTTGCAGAAGAAGGGAGATAATTTTTAAAGCAAATTATAGGTCTGGGGAAGCAGACATCTTTTCTCACCAAATGTTAAAAGTAGCTTCAGTCGTTACCATCGCCACTACTTTGTTGCCCCCTTCAGTCCTCTAATTTCTCATTTCCTCCTTTACCTGTCCTCTAAAAGATTACCCGCGTAAGCAAAAAAAACTGAACAAAACAAAACAAAAAACAAACAAACAAAAAACCATACAAAGCAAATAACAATATGATAATACGTATGATGCACGGTCTTCGCAGTAGAGAGCGCTATTTATGCAAAAGCGAAAATCAGACCTGAATAAAATCAGGCCTGTACGGGATTCGAACCACTGACCTCTGCGATACTAGTGCAGCGCTCTACCAATTGAGCTAACAAGCCAACTGGGAGCAGGCCGTTAAGTTGATTGGTAATAAACCCGAGATGATAAATCAGATACGATGAATATATGAAGTTCATATATTTTGAACTGCGGTTATAGATACGTTTTTTATGTGTGTTTAAGGCAGACGGCCAGGCTCCCGTAAGGGCGGTGCAATGCCTGCCGACTACCCGTCTGATCCAACCCGAGGCGGGGGTGCGATGCCTACGGGCTGGGTCCACCACAAACTGAGGGTCACCAGACAGCAACTTCGCTGGGGAATCGAACCCCACCTCAAACAAAAATTAACACACACACACATCAAAAATTGAACACACTCACTGATAATTATGGCCTCGAGCCAGCCGCGGGGTAGCGCCAGAAAAAAAAAAAATAATAATAATAGCCCCTAGCCAGCCAAGGGGTGGCACACGAAAAAAAAACAAAACGTACATAGTACGGGACGCAATACAGGAACCCCTGTGCAATACACCATATAAGGAGACCCAGCACAAGATGCAAAGAGACGGACACAACGAGAACGCTCACAGGGGAGGGGAACAGCTACATGGAGAATACAAGAGAGCTATTTATGGCAGAGGCAACAATGCCACGGGCGCCCCACTGTCGGTGGAAGAAGCGCTAGCGCCTATCTGACTTGAAGCGTTTGAAGAAGATGGGAAGGTGATGTTTGAGACGAGACAGAATGTTAGCCATGACCGCCACAGCGCCAGGACGGGTGTTACGGAAGCGGAAGTCATTCCGGGATTGCCAGATACAGAATTTAGACAGATTGAGAAGGTACACAAAGATACGGGGGTGGCAATCAGCTCATCACAGTTGAAGCCGAAGAGAACGTGACGAAGGAGTAACACTGGGCACATGGAAGAGAAATAAAACATAAGAGACTGGAGCCAGGAGAGCATACTTTGAGCAGGGGGGCAGTAGAAGAACAGGTGTTCTAGTGTTTCCACTGGGGCACCACAGAAGCAGGGGAGGGGAACTGGCAATCCAAAAGAGACAAGACGGTGGGCGGTGTACAGGACGCCATGCGCAATCTTCCTGTTGAGGTCCATCACAGGACGGACGAGATCGAATAGTGACAGAGAGTGCCACGTGGCAGGCCAATCCAGAGATGGGTAAACGAGGTTGAATTTCTCGATGCAGTGTGGTTGGACCATGTTCTCAGATAAGAGATAGTAATAGCAGGACTTTGTAGACATCTCAAAGGCAGGAGTGCAGACAAGTGGGCAGGAAGAATCAAAGATGAGGCGGTTTTTGCACGGGGAGAAAGAGCCGTTAAGGCCGCGCCAAGCAAGGGTAAGGGACTGTTAGAAGGGCGGTAAGACACGGGGATCGAAGGAGAAAGGGCGGCAAAAAAAACAACAAGGGGAGTGACACCAAAATGAGAATGACAGTAGAAAGACAACATGGTGCACCAGTCAGATGGGGAGGAGACAAACCTTCTCACCCACTGGCCGAGCATGGCTCATACTTTAAATGAAACATCCACAACATAAAAGCCACAAAATAGCGGGGACTGGCTTAAGCTAGTGCGGGCCACGAGTTCCCGTTTACCGGACCAGAAGAAGGAGAATACAAGACGACAAAGTTCCTTCCGCACCCAGGCGGGCATGTGGACGAGTGACGCCACGTACCACACCGGGGCGAGTGCAAGCGCATTGATGACTTGAGCCTTGCCGCCGAAGGACAGGGAACGACTTCGCCAGGATTTGAGAACATGGTCTACTTCCTTTATGCGAGGGCGCCAGTTTTCCTCCTCTAGATCCCCAGGACCAACAAAAACTCCCAAGATCTTTAGCTTTGTTTGCGATCAGTCTAGGGCGACTGGGGGGTCAGTCCGGCCAATCCACTGACCCAACCAGAGATCTTTGGACTTCGCTTGGTTCAGTTTAGCACCGGAAGCAGCTTCGAAAAGAGTGTAAACCTCAAAGCAGGCTTTTATAGAGTCGTCAGACGACAATATGAGTGAAGTGTCATCCACGTACTGAGATATCGGAGATAATGGTGGAAAACTAGGGATGGACAGGCCAGAGATTCGAGGATTAGCGCGAATACTGGCAGCCAGGACTTCCGATGCGAGGACATAGAGGAGGGGGGACAGGGGAAACCCTGTCGGACGCCCCGCGACAGATAGAATCAGGGAGAGAGATACCCGTTGACGTTTACAGAACTCTGCGCAAGATGATAGAAAAGACTCACCCACGCGATGAATGCGGGGCAAAAGCTCATGGCAGAGGGGGTAGCCTTCATAAATCCCCAATCTACCCGGTCAAAGGTCTTTTCTTGATCCAGTGACAAGATTGCTGCAGGGAATCCCGTGGACATAGTGTAGTCAACCACATCACGAACTAAGGAGACATTTTCCCCGATGTACCTGCCAGGTACGCCACAGGTTTGGTCTTTGTTGACCACGAGATGGATCACTTTCAAGAGTCGGCCTGCGATAGCTCGGGATGCAATCTTGTAATCTACGTTTAAGAGGGTGATTGGGCGCCAGTTTCGGGGATCAAGGCGGTCTCCCTTCTTGAATCATAGGGTGATAATGCCACGACGTTGCGAGAGAGCGAGGGACCCGGCGAAGAAACAGTCATTTAGGAGAGTAACAAGGTCTCGACCGAGAACACCCCAGAACCTGAGCTAAAACTCGGCCGGGAAACCGTCAAGGCCAGGGGCCTTATTTTTTTCCATGCTTTTAATTGCAGCGAGACACTCCTCCGTGGTTAGAAGGCCCTCACATGTCTCAGCCTGATCAGGAGGAAGTGAGGACTAGAGATTAGACAGGAGAGAGGACTGGGTGTGAGGATCGGTGGGAGTGGCAGAGAACAGATCGGAATAGGAGTTTAACGTAAGGCATACGTCCTCCGGGCACGAGACAATAGAACCTCCGCTGTCCCGCAAGGCGGGTATCCAACGATCTACTGAACGTTTTCTCTCTAAGCGAAAGAAGTATGACGATGAGGTTTCACATTCCTCAACCCATCTAATCCGAGACCTTACCTGGGCACCACGGGCAGCTTCACGATCGAGGGCTGCAAGGTTGGAGAGAGCTAACTGGTAGGGTGTGACGCATGAGACCGAACCTGCATCCACGTTTGCTTTCAGCTGGGCAATGAGATTGACGAGACTGTCTCTGTTGCGTTTTTTCGTGGAAGACCTTGACTTACAATAATTAATTGTCAGACCTTTGAGGCGATTTTTGCCATCCTCCCACCATTTTCTGAGTGAAGTGAATACAGTTTTTGAGCCTTGCCAAGTGCGCCAAAAGTCAGTCACAGTTGGACATATTCACTTTCTTTGAGGATGGCTCTGTTCAGTTTCCAAAGCCCAGGACCTGGTGGAACAATGTCTGGGACAGACACCGAGGTGAGAACACCACAGTGGTCGTAGAAAGGGCACGGAACAACAGAGCATGAATTTACCGATGTAATCCAAAGGGAGGGAACACCGGCAAGGTCGATACGAGACGCGAGAGCGCCATTCCACTTAGTCCAAGTGAAACCTGGAGATGTGGGGTGCAGATACCGGTAGATGTCAAGAACGCAACATGCATAAAAAAGGCCGCGGAGTGAGGTAGTGCTTTCCCGCGACGAATCGGAGGGGGCCGAGCCACGTCTGTCCGGGCTACGGTCAAAGACAGTGTTAAAGTCGCCACACAATAACGTAGGGATGGAGGGGTCCACTTTAGGGTGGATCTCGTCTAGAAACTGGTCTCGTGCAGGGTTGCGATTCGGAGCATACAAACAACAGACACGGAAGGACTGGTTACGAAAAAAGAATTCACACTGAAAAAAACGGCCGTCAGAATCAGACCAAGAGTTAGATAGATACAACGTGGAGCTGTAAAGAATCACACACCCGCAAGAATGAGTAGAGCCTGGAGACAGTACAGAGTTAAACCCAGAGGAAAGAAACCAAGAACGACACTCATTTACAGACGTACAATGCGTTTCCTGGAGGCAGACCAGGTCTATACTCACACGGAGAGAGCACAACCACTTCACGAGACCCTCTCGCTTAGATCGGTCTCTGATACCGTTGGCATTTAAAGAGATGACAGACAAAGTCATGAGGAGAAAGTGAATGAGCCTCATGAAAGCCAAGGCTGGGGCTTCCCCTTCCTTTTGGGAAGATTGGGCACCACCTTGGACCTCTTAGAAATCGCATTAGACAATTGAGCAGAGGTTGGGACCATCACACGTTTTTTACCAGGTCGCTTCCTGGTGACAGTTTCAAAGTTATCAAAGGACACACTCCGTGAGAGAGGGGAGGAGAACTCAGAGATGAAAAGGGACTCAGAGCCCTGAAGAGGGGTAGAGTCCTGAGAAGTAAATTCAGTCATGTCATCTTCGATGTCACCAACAACGGGACAGTTGCTAACATTAATTACTTGAGAGGTGCTTTGACCAGAATTACTATTATAATCGTTAACTATTTGTCTGGTGTTTTGACCAGAATTACTACTAATCTCATTAACTACTTGTCTGCTGCTTTGGCCAGAATTACAACTATTTTCATTAATTAATGAATTGGTACTTTGACCAGAGGTACTGTTAACAACGGCACTGTTGCTATCATTAATCGATTGGCTGGTATTTTGACCAGAATTACTATTAAGTTCTGAGGCCTCAGATTGTTTACTGATAGATTCATTAATAACTTCTCCAGGAACAGTGATGACCATTTCACTCATAGATAGATCAACAACAGGATCGACATTTAGGGCAACGGGATCACTATCAACCGTATTTGACGGAATGGGAGCGTTTCCCGGCGGGCTGGCCGCGTTTCCAGTAGAGATTGGCGGGAAATCAGCAGCCAGGGGGACAACGCCAGCTCCTGGGAGCGTAGGGCCCCAGGCATTACCATTACGACGAGAAGGGCAATTACGAGCCCAATGACCGGCTTCACCACATCTCATGCATTTCCCTTTGAAATCACAGTCAGCGGCCTTGTGACATATGACTTTGCAGTTCGAGCAGAAAGATTTTATGCCGCGGTACCAGATACGAACAGGATATCCGTCAATGGTAACCTCCGCCGGAATGGGTTTCTCAAGCGACATCGTTAGGATACGCGAGACGGTGAGGAGATCAGGTCTCCCCATA